GGGACCACAGTTCCTAACTAGGGTTTTCTCGTCTCTGGACACCTGCTAAAGAGTCCAGGATGCTGCTTCTGGATTACTTGAGAATTTTTCTTTCAGCTCTTCACTTAGAATGACTACACCAAAAAAAACAAAAAAACAAAAAAAACATTGTCATCAAGTCAATTCCGACTCATAGCAACCCTACACGACAGAGAAGAACTGCCCCATAGGGTTTCCAAGGAGCAGCTGGTGGTCTGAACTGCCAATCTTTTGGTTAGCAGCTGTAGCTCACCATAGGTCTTAACTATTGAGCCTCTAGGGCTCTAGAATGACTATAGGTCATTAGAATTCAGCTCCATCACTCTGCTTTTTTGACCTTCACAGACTCATTTTGTATATTCTGTAGTGAAAAGAAGGTGACTTTTGAAGACAAGATGGTATAGGTTAAAATACCCAATTCAATCTGCTTGGCTGCAAAAGACCTTTGTCATAAACAGGATATTTCAGTACTACCAACACCAGAGATTTGTGGCTGTCGTGTGTGTGTGTGTGTGTGTGTGTGTGTGTGTGTGCGTGTGTGTGCGCGTATGTGTGTGAGTTTAGTAGCTGAAATACGTTCCCAGCATGTCCAGACATGTAAGTGGGGTGATAAGACGGAGAAGTGAGGGGCTGACAAGTGACTTATGAAAGGTTAAAGCATCAGATTTTTGTTCCTAGAGTCTCCTGTTGGCTGAACCAAAACTAATCTCAGATACTACAGAAGACACTATTTGTGATTCTAAAATCTTTCTTTTATATGACTTCTCAGTAACTATTCTCTTTAGCCTTATTTCTAATTTTTCTAAATCAGTTGAAGAACTGATTGTGGAGAGACCAGCTGGGGAGGTATTGGGTGGTGTCAGGAAGAAGGTGACCCCATATGTTGGTGGGAGGGTGTGGAGGGTCGTGAGTTCAGGGGAACAGACCAGAGGTGTTCTGCTGTGCCAGAGTACGCAACATTCTTGGGGTCCCTAGGACCAGAAAGATTTGGTTGAGCAAAGGTCAAAGAAATCCTCTTGATGAAGAATTATTCAGGCATTTAGATTCCTGAAGAGCTAGAAACACCTGTATTCTAGAGTGGCCCCTCCTCTTAACAGCTGCCTCCCTTGCCCACCACTCTCATATGTGATCTACTGCTGTTCCAAACCCCGGTTCAGCGGCCATGTTATTCTGTTACCCATGAGCACAGATAGGGCTATCTCAAGTGTTGAGTACAAAGTCAGCACTGAATAGATACTTAACTGATGGATGTTTATGCTGCCTAATTGTGACCTGGCTACAATGTGGAAGGGATAATGCTCAGAGTTTCAAACTGACCCTAGTTCTCAGACCATGCCTGAGAATCCTACACAGAGTCCTGCAGATCGTCTTGATTCAGCGTCTTGTATCTTTAGGAAGGCACATGCCTAAATAATACAAGACAAGAAGTCTTGAATTATATATAGAAGGCAAGGGATTAAAAACAAAAAATCCTGAAAGTAGAAATTAAAAAAAAAAAAAAAGGGAACCAATGGTAAAGTTATGTTGCACTGGCTTCTTCCTTCTCTTGGTGTGTCACTGCTTCTAGAGGAGGCCAATGCTTTTTACCTGCTCACCATTCTCACTCCACTTTAAAAAGAGATTTGGACATTGTGTGAGTAAATGGAAAGGCTTCGGCTTAAGAAGTCATTGCCTGAGGAAATAACATACCAAAGCTGAGTTTAGGATTAGTTTCCAAATCCCCAGTGTCCCCCTACCTTTACCCTGTCATCTGCATACTTCTTGAAAGGAGATGTTTTAATCAAATTGCTCAGCTAGTTGGGGCCTTGGCCTAAAGCACGGCCAACGGCTGTCACAGCTGAGGCAATGTTCAAGTACTACTTGACCAATTTTGATTTTATTTTCTAGTCTACTAACTCTCGAAAATCAGTGGAATGCAATAATGGATGTCAGAGAAAGAAATAGACTTGATATCATCCATGGAGAAGGCTGATATCTACCATTTGCTACTGGCTTCCATTCCAGACTGTATCCAGTTACCGAATCAATTACTTCTTTAATGCTTTAGTAAACTATTCTCTCCCCAGGAACATCTAACCATGTGTTTGGGGGTTCAGAATCAACCCAGCTCTGGGGTTTCCATTCATTCCCATATTTTAAAATCTTGGTTTTTCCTTCTCAGGTCCTCTACACTTGACCCTTGAGCTTAAAAGGGAATGCCTTCCTCTGAGGGACAGCCCCTACTTCTCCAATTTCTGTGGAAACTATCTCCCTAGGCTGGTTCAAATCTAGTGGCATCAAACCAGCACCATGCAGGTTCAATAGGTTAGACTTCTAGGGGTTTTCAAACGCCAGGTTGGACATCAGAATCACCTGGGGAGCTTTTCCAAACTGCAGACACTGTGGCCTTAAATCTGGGGCTTCTAATTAAATGGTTCTGATGGAGGCCTGGGCATCTTTATATTTAGAAAGCTCCATATTTGATGCTGAAGCACATTGAGATTTGAGAGTCTGTGGGTTAGAGAGAGAGACATAGAGGCAAGGAGGAGGAATGCTGAAGGGGGAGTAAGGAAGAGTGGGGAAGGAAGGAAGGAAGAAATGGCCACAGAAAGGTCAAAGCAATTAAAGAAATTGGCTGAGAGCAGGAGCATTGGGCTGGGAGGTGCTTCCATCATGAATACCCAAATAGGAGGCTCCGTTCCAATTCTAGGTGTGTGTGCGCGCGTATGCGTACACACACGTATACAACACGGCCATTTCAGAAAGGTGCTGGGAAAATCAGAGAGAGGCATGTCCCATGAGCCTGGGATTGTTCTTCACCTCTGACACTTTTTCCATTCCCAGCCTGAGCTCTATCACACACACCCCAGGGGAGAAAGCACAACACAGCTGCCGAAAATTGGTAGTTGCAGTTGTGTGCTTCTTCTCATTCCCCACTCTAGCTGTCATTATGACAGTATTTCTGTGGGTCACATCTGGCTGGGGGGGTGGGGTATCAATGACTTGTGGTTGGGGAGAGGGAGGGAGTGATCAAGGAAGATCACAAAAATACACCGGGGCCATCAGCATGGTAAATTATACCTATTCGCCCCAACCCCACACCCACCCACCCACTGCCACCCTACCCTCAAACGGATGCCATGGAAGGCATTTCCATAGCAACCTAAGGCATGGGTTTGAGCTTATAGGATGAGGCTCCAAAGCAAAGTCCCCTACATTCATATGTTCTATGACCCTTGGCAGAAACCCGCCTATTTGCAGAAGGATGTGTCTGTTCTTGGCTGGCCAGAAGGACTCACACAAGGCAGAAGAACCAGTTAGGGACACTTAGGGAATTTGCCCTGCTTTGCTAAGTGTAATCAATTCAACACCCTTTCCCTGTCTTGAAAATTATTCAAAACCAAGTTCTCATCAAGCATGAGCCTGAGAAGTGTTTTTCAATATTTTATCTTCATTTGCAGCAAGGGTGATTTGACCTTTGACTTCTTTGGAAAGTATCACGACATAGCAACTCTACGATGGCATGGACTCTGGTTTCACCACCATTATTCAGTTCGATATTTAGTCTACTTCCCTAGACTGAGCTTCTCAGTCTGAACTGAATCTTATTCATGTCTAAATGCTCAGTTTCATGGACCACACATGGCATACAAGAGATGCTTAATAAATGTTAGCTTGATACAAGGTACTCAGGCAAGTTTTAAGTAGCCATTTTCAAAATGTTATAGCAACACTGGGTTTTGACATGTCAACTATAATGTAAAAACTGGGGAAAGAGTATTTTGAATCAATAGGATGTGCTGCTTATAAAAAAAAAAGAGAGATGATACAATATCCTGTTCCACATCTCTGTACTGTTACAAAACTGTTCATTCTGATTCAGAAAGAAGCCAACACCTCTCTTGGCATTGGCTCTATCTGGCAGCTCTGCTCGTTGGGAAGGCATTCACTTCCCTCTCACTCTTCCCTGCTTTAGTTTGTAAATGCTGTTTCCTAAGCAGGCTCTTAGATTGTTTTCACGATGGCCAAATAAATTTGACTATTTGCAAAACTCTGGGAGAGATGGTATTTCCAAGACTGGCAACAAGCATTATTTGCCCAAATGCTGGAGAACAAAACTGGATTTTGGCAAGTCATTTCTCATGCTGAAGTAGGAAATACTACAAAGAACTGTATTTTCTGGAGCTTTTACAAATAATGGACTTGACTCTGCCAGAATGGAGACAGCTCAAATATGATTGTGTCTCTGCCGATGGGACAGGGTACATAGAAAACTGGTATTCTTTTCCATTAAGGCACTCCAATGGCTTGAAGGTCAGCAAAGCAGTGTTTGCTACCGGATAGCAAAAGGTGGATCTCTGAAATAACAGATTTACTGTAGACTGACTGACCCTCAAGAAAGGGTATTCCTAAATTTGCATCATATAACCAGCAGATTGTTTTGTTAGCAGTAAACATGACAAGGTATTTGGTTGATGAACTATTTTAATATGTTAAGGCAAGATTAATATGAGAAATAAAAATAGCATGCCACAATGCTTTAAAATTCAATAAAAATGACTTCTTTATTAGTTTCTTTTTAGAAGACAAAGCCTGATTTTTCTCACTAAGAATTAATAATTGTGCCCAGATAATTTGTCCTCTAGCTCTTTTTGGGGGAAGGAGCAAGTAAAGCAGAATTAGAACTCTACAATGGGATGAGGAGTTGAATGGAATCCTTGTGCCAGGCTTAGCCTACTAATTCACAAAGCATCGATTGCATGCCAGTGTTTCTCACTCTGGTAGGACAAACCGAAAGATTTCTGTTAGCCTAGTGGGCAGGGAGATAGGATGCATTACGGTGAAAAGTTCATGCTTTGTTTCTTGGGCAATACCTGGAACAAATCAAAGATACACATCAACCATTCCATCAGCGTGTATATGTGACCACAGGGAGATGTCAAGGAAAGGCTCACACCCTCCTAGACTCCTTGCCCTCCGACTGCCCATCTCATGCTACATACCCAGTACAGCACGTCTGTCCAGCCCTCCATGGTGATGCACTGGAACACCGTCAACATGGCGAAGGCAAAATTGTCAAAGTTGGTGATGCCGTGCTTGGGCCCGTCCCACCCGGGCTTGCACACGGTGCCGTTCTGGCACTGGCGTCCGTGGCCAGTCTCCAGAGCACACGGAGAAGGATCATCCTCTGCTGGAACATCTCAAATGGCCAGGGAAAAAGAGAAGGAAGCAGAAGGGAGGGAGAGAGATGGGCAGAGAGAAAAGGAGAGAGGAGTTAGAGAGAAAAGTAATAGGATAGGGTTGATGGGACAGGCAAAACGACCACAGCAACAGTAATGTAGAACATGTCTTTATTAGTTTCCCATATATGAATTAAACACCATATGGAACTAGGTATTCATTTTAGGCTGCCATTGATTTAGAAGGTACTTTCAACTAATTTGTATAAAAACTTTGTGTTAACCTCAGTAATTGATTTCAAAGACAGTAGGGTTATTGTCTACTTTGATGGACCATGTTGGCATCATAGTCAAATGACCAATCAAAAAATAATAATGATGCGAACACTCCGAGCGGAAAATGTCCTGGAAAATGATGGGAAATCTGCATTTTCTGAGAGTCTTTGTGTGTGTGTGTGTGTGTGTGTGTGTGTGTGTGTGTAAAAGCATCTAGAGACACTTCCATTAGAATGAAGGCTATAGTGATTAGAAGACTTCACATAATTAGCCAACAGATCCCACCCAGTAATGCCTCCTGAACTATATATGGGTCCATTACACATTACATGACGCTTTGCCAGGGATGCAAGCCCCTTTATAGCAGAAGCCTTACACAGAGGAAGGTTGAAAAATAAACTCTGCCTGTAGGGGAAAAGTATCAACCGCAGCAGTCTTTATTATGGCTCCTGAGGACGAGCACTACTATCTTTTGCATGCCCCGTGGAACCTTGTGGCTCTGCAATCTGCTCTCCAGCATTAGTAACTTTCCAAAGGGAAGAATCACTTTCTGATGTCCAGTTAAGACCGAGTGGCAGTGGGTGATGGGGAGAATACTCCCTAGGTACGGAGAGGGCTTTCTCAGCAAATACTTACTGTAATATATCTATTATGGCTAAAGACAGTACTTGGGCTAATTCCATATGCTGGAAATAGCTATTAGCAAATTAAGGAATTAAGATGTGGCTCTTATTTTTGGTGCAGAGATCATTGGTAAATTTAAATAAGAATTGACTGACCTAAAAATTTCCATTATGGTAAAATACCGAGAAAGTATTGGTCCCAGTTTTGGGAGGTAATTTTATACAAATCACAGAAATTTGTGAAATTAAGAACACTGTTTCTCACTTACAGGAAGCCATGACAGTAATAAACAGACTAGACCTTAATTCTAATAAAGAAATGGTTGCTGCTAACAATAGTGCAACTATGCCTCCAGGGAGAGAATTTGCTTGTAGTTCTTCATTTAGAGACAACACCAGAATCTTTTCTTGTTTCATATCTATCAAAACAATCTCAAGTGTCTAGTACCTCTGTACTGAAGACTGTTGGTTGGCTCGCTGTTTCTCAGTTTGTGTCTTTAAATTTGAAACTGTTTGTCCCCAAGGGGAAGTCAGGGAGAGGAATATCCATCCTTAACTAAGAGATAATTCTTAGGAGAATAGAGTTGAGCTTAATAACAGCTTTATTGAGATATAATTCACATACCTTATAATTCACCAGTTGTAAGCATACAGTTCAGTTTTTTTTGAAGTATTTTTATATTAGTTGTGTACCCATTACCACAATCCATTTTAAAACACTTCAGTCACCTCAAACATTCCCCTGTAAGAATCTCTGTCAATCCCTGCACCTACCCCTAGCCCCAGCAAACACTGATCTGCATTCTGTGTCAATAGCTTTTCCTTTTCTAGAAACTTCATATTAATGAAATCATACAGTATGTGGCTTTTTGTGTCCATCTTCTTTCAACTTAGAATAATGTTTTTGAAGTTCATCTGTGTTGTTGGATGTATCAGTATAGTCTGTTCCTTTTTATCGCTGAGTAGTATATTCCACTGGCTACTAACTGAAAGGTTGGTGGTTCAAATCCGCCCAGATGTGCCTCAGAAGAAAGGCCTGGCGATATACTTCTGAAAAACCAGTCACTGAAAACCCTATGGAGCACAGTTCTACTCTAACTCATGAGGTCACCATGAGTCAGAGCTGACTCAATGGCAACTGGGGTTTTTTTTTTTTTTTGTTAGTATATTCCATTGTATAGACACACCACATTTTGTTTATCCATTCTTCAGTTGATGGGCATTTGGATTGTTTCCAGATTTGGGCTATTATGAATAATGCTGCTTCCTGGTTTATTTTTGACCTGGTGCTTATGGTAGTAGGGGAGTCCTCTGTGCGATGACCAAGGTGTAAAGGTCTTATCACTGGTCTCTGACCTGTTCAAGGGGGTGACACTATCTGCACCGTTTCCATATTCCAGGGTCTGGCTCTCAGGAGGTTGCTTTAATGTGGTTGAGTTCAGCTACCCTCTAGTCACAACTTCCTACCGGGCCTGGTGATGTCTTCACAGATTTGGATGTGAGTTTAAACACTGACAGGCTATAAAAAGGAGGGAAACCAAAAAGTGAACCCCAAACCTAAACAATACATAAAAAAGTGGATAACAAGCACTTAAAAAATTGGAAGTCGAGAGACTGAAAAACCAAGAATCAAACAGATCATAAATTCTGTTGGTTTTCACCTATTCTCATGATGGTTTTCGAGGGTGACGTGCTCCCTCACTGTGATAAAAGTGCTAGAATGATATGAGAGATAGGACAAAAAGAGAAGGCAAAAAAAATACAGAGGAAACTGGCATTTCTTCTGCCGATGGCTTGCTTTTTAGTGGAATAAAGTCACAATTTCCCCTTTGTGACTGTTAATTTGACAGCTTTTCCTGCATGGCCAGTTCCTGAAACAGGCAGAAATAAGGAAAAGGTGAAGGCTGCCAAGGTGAGGTCTAAGTGTCCTCAAGGAAGGGAAACATATTTGGGGATTTTACAAATATATGTTAAAAAGAAAATGACATCAGGGGGAAGTGATCTCATTAATAAAAGAGAAAGGGATGAGATTCAGAAAGATTATCAAAAGGCTCAAGTGCTGCTCTGCTATTTTAAATCTGTCTTCGATAACAATAAAAAAGAAGATTTGAGAACAATTAAGAAGCAATGATGATCTGGTAAAAATAGGTATCTATAAAAAGCACTAAAGGGAACACTTGAAATATGTGAACACACACACATCAGCAGGTCCTAGCGACATGTACTCCCAGATGAAGGGAAATGAGTTTAAACGTGAAAATGTGTTGGTTTTCTTTGCAGAATCATGAAGTCCTGGGGAAGAAAGTGGGAACACGAGGTGGGAGAAAGAAACAAAACAATATGGGCCCCACATTTTAAAACAGAAATGAAGAGCGGTAGAGTCGTTCTGGAGAGTCCAAATTGAGTTTATGGTAAAATAATGGAGGCAAAGATTAGAAGAGATTTTAGAAATTCAGTTAATACCAATGAGAACAGAAAATCCTGAGAACATGCCAGTTAGGGGTTCCAAGCAGAAATCGCCAAAGACAAAATCAATTACTTTTTTTTAGGACCCAACTTTAAGCAGTGAATAGAATGAAGGTGATTTCATTTCTGGATTTTAGCCAACCAATCTTTGCCAATCTCAAGGGTAATTACTGTGCTTTGGAGAGCTATTCAGAGTGACCTGGCTCAGAGAACCATCAAACAGATGGGACAGACAGAAACAAAAGGTAGCGGCATATGGCGATGGATCTGTTGAGGAATGAGGAAGGCACCTTGCCGGTGCCTCAGGGATTGGGAAGAAATTGTCACTTCTGTGACCATCTCCACTGGGGACTGGAAGGGCAGCATAGAGACAGAGCAACGGTCCACCTGGCCAGCTCCATAGCTTTCTTGCATGGATTTTACAGTAAACATGGCTCAAAATTCAATGTATTTGAAAACCTAAAATGAGTATGTAAAATTCTCAGTCTGAGAAATAACCTCAAAATGTGAAAAGAAGGATTTGAAGTAACCCGTTGCCGCTAGGAGCCCTAATACACGGCATAAACACAATACAAACCATGAGTAACAATGCACAAGCACCAGAAGAGAGACTAGATAACTGGGAGCTCCTAAAAATCAAACACTTACGCTCATCAAAAGACTTCACCAAAAGAGTCAAAAGACAACCTACAGACTAGGAAAAAATTTTTGGCTACGACAAATCCAATCTGCGTCTAATCTCTAAAATCTACAAGATACTGCAAAACCTCAACAACAAAAGGACAAATAACCCAATTAAAAAATAGGCAGAGGATATGAACAGGCACTTTGCCAAAGAAGATATTCAGGCAGCTAATAGACACATGAAGAAATGCTCACTGTTATTAGCCATTAGAGAAATGCAGATCAAAACTACAATGAGATATCATCTCACCCCAACAAGGCTAGCATTAATCCAAAAAACACAAAACGATAAATGCTGGAGAGGTTGTCAGAGACTGGAACACTTATACACTGTTGGTGGGAATGTAAAATGGTACAACCACTTTGGAAATCGATTTGGTACTTCCTTAAAAAGCTAGAAATAGAAGTACCATACAATCCAGCTATTCTGCTTCTTGGAATATATCCTAGAGAAATAAGAGCCGTCACACGAATAGATATATGCACACCCATGTTCACTGAAGCACTGTTCACAATAGCAAAAAGGTAGAAACCTAGGTGCCCATCAATGGACAAATGGATAAACAAATTATGGTACATCCACACAATGGAATACTATGCAACGATAAAGAACAACGAAGAAGCCATGAAACATCTAACGTGGAGGAAGCTGGAGGTCATTATGCTGAGTAAATTTAGTCAGTCACAGAAGGACAAATATTGTATAAGACCACTATTATAAGAACTCAAGAAAAGGTTTAAACACAGAAGAAAACATTCTTTGATGGTTATGAGGGTGGGGAGGGAGGGTGAGTGTTATTTACTAACTAGATAGTAGATAAGAATTATCTTAGGTAAAGGGAAGGACAGCACACACCACAGGGGAAGTCAGCACAAGTAGACTAAACCAAAGCTAAGAAGTTTCCTAAATACAATCAAACACTTTGAGGGACAGAGTAGCAGGGATAGGGGTCTGCAGACCATGCTTTCAGGGAACATCTAGGTCCATTGGCATAACAAAGTTTATTAAGAAAATGTTCTGCATCCTACTTTGGTGAGTGGTGTCTGGGGTCTTAAAAGCTTGCAAGCGGCCATCTAAGATGCATCAATTGGTCCCATCCACCTGGAGTAAAGGAGAATGAAGAACACCAAAGACACAAGGAAAGTATTAGCCCAAGAGACAGAAAAGGACACACAAGCCAGAGATTTCATCAGCCTGAGACCAGAAGAACTAGACGGTGCCCGGCTAACACCAATGACCACCCTGACAGGGAACACAACAGAGAGTCCCGGATGGAGCAGGAGAAAGATGGGGTGCAGAACTCAAATTCTAGCAAGAAGACCAGACTTAATGATCTGACTGAGACTGGAGGAACCCCAGAAAGCATGGCCCCTGGATTCTCTATCAGCCCAGAACTAAAACAATTTCTGAGTCCAGCTCTTCAGACAGGGATTGGACTGGACTGTGGGACATAAAGTGATACTCGTGAGGAGTGTGCCTCTTAGCTCAAGTAGATACAAGAGACTAAATGGGCAGCTTCTGTCCAGAGGTGAGATGGGAAGTCAGAGAGGGTTAGGAGCTGGTTGAACAGACATGGGGAATTGGGGGTGGAAACGAGGAGTATGCTGTCACAGTATGGGGAGAACAATTATGGTCACATAAAAATGTATCTATAAATTTTTGTATGGGAAAAAGTTTTTAAAAAAATGAAGTAACCCATTGACGTCGAGTCAATTCCAACTCATAGTGACCCTGTAGGACAGAGTAGAACAGTACTGTAGGGTGTCCAAGGAGTGGCTGGTGGATTTGAACTGCTGACCTTTTGATTAGCAGCCAAACTCTTAGCCACTGCACCACCAGGGCTCCATCTGAAGTAAGTTCCTTTAAAATACAACAAGGGCTCACAGAGCACATTGTATGACCTAAATTTTCAGAAAATATGGTAATTTAATCCAAAGTCTGAAGTTTTTTTTTTTTAAATTCACTCATTCTAAAGGTTATATAAAACTCTCCGAATCACATGGGGAATGGATTCAAAGAATGCAGATTTTTGGTTTTCTACTATTTGGCTGCATTAAGGATGTCCAGATTCCTGTAAATTTCTTTCTCCTCATCAGTGTTAGTCACTGTGTGGGTGGAAGAGGCCTCGATGACAGCTGTATCGTGCTTCTGTTTGGGAGCGATGTAGTGGTTCCCTGGATTGTCATCAGATGGCAGGTTTAGGAATGAGGAGACAGTGAGCTCCTGATTGCAAAGTGTTTGAGAGGAGAGGCTTCTGCAGCAAAGCATCCTCGGCCCCCCTTCCCAGCAGGGAGTCTGGCTCCACACAGGACAGTGAGATCACCTTCCTGGTGGAGCCCGGCCTGGCTCCTCTCTTTGGAACACTTGTTCTTATTGTCCTCTGACACCTTGGCTCCCCTGGCTGCTGGCTGTTTCCCTGATGGGAGCCAACTTCTCTTCTGAACTTGTGGGGTGAAGATAAAGTCCACCACATACATCATCTGACAAGTATCAGATCATCATGGTAGGAAGCAGGGGATGCCTCAGGTTCTTTTCCTGGTCCTGTTTAACTACCAAGGATAGACAAAATGATCCTAAAATGGCCAGTCTGAATGGTAAGGCTCTCCCTCCAGTGACTTCCAACCAACGTTCAAAGTTGCTTGCTAGCACAGGATCCTGCTACCAGCAGAAAACACACTTTTGCTATTTTTCCATTGTTTCTGTTGTTAGTTGCTATTGAGTTGGCTCCAGCTTAGAGGGATCTTATGTATATCAGAACAAAACTTTTCCCAGTCCTGCACCATCTTCATGATCGTTGGTCTGAGTCCACTGTCGAGCTATTATGTCAATTCGTCTCATTGACAGTCTGTCTCCCTTGTTTTTGCTGACCCTCTAGTTTGCGAAACATAATGTTCTTTTCTAGCGATTGGTCTTTCCTGATGATGTGTCCGAAGTAAGCGAGTTGAAGTCTTGTCAGTAGGGTGATGAAATCATCTGTAGTTTGGGAAGCAGTTCTCCTTAGCGTAGTAGTGCACAGACATTTGTGGCAGGGCAGGGTGGTCACCTTTGGCTCTCTGGCAGGATTTCATCATTTCGCTCTCCCCTACTTGGAATGCTGTCGGTAAGAGCTGCACCATCACCCACTGCTGAACTGATGGGAGATCTTTGAGATTCAACATCTTTGTGACTGCCTGATGAGTTTGGGTCAAATGGGTCATTGATATTTCAAACCAACTGCATAAACTTTAGACATATTATAGTTAGCTCTTAAGCAGGTCTTGGAATAAGCTCTGACACAGCCACACAACATAAATTTATTGGTTCAGGGCTAGCTATAAATCAAAATGAATAAAAGGAAAGATTTGAATTAAAAGGCAAAATATTATTTATTGCATCATTTGGTATTTCTTTATGCAAGACTGAAAATCTCAGAATTTTAGCAAAAGGCAAGACCTGCTTGTTTCAATTTAAAAGGAATCCTAATTTTTTTTAACATGATAGTTTATTTTATACAGTTATGACCCAAGTACTTTGGAAATCCTCTCTAGTTGAAAAAACAGTTTCCTCTTAAGTGGACTTTCTACTGAAAAAGTAAAAACTGAGTGATTTTGAGACTATAGGTTTTTTGTTTTTTAAAAGGAATGTGGCCATGTGGCAAACAATGACCTAGGAGTCTTGCAAATACCCAGTCAATCCATCCAGTCAAACAGATCACACAGACCAGGTAATTTCATTTGGTTTCTGAATATGAATAATCCACTTCACTCCTTGCTGCATAGATGCTGTCTTCCTTAATCCCCTAAAGCAAGAGGAGTCAAATTAAATTTAATACCTGGGCTGAATGAGAATGAGAAGCAGTACAGACGGAGAGAAATGAGGTAGGCTTCTATGCTCCAGGCAGGTGCTTCCTCTTCTCCATCAAGATACCAAAAACTAAGATGAAAAGGTCTTGTTGTTTGAAAAAGTGAATCATATAAATTTGACACCGTTAACCCCTGTGGGGGGTATTTTTTCAACAAGTTCTTTGTGTTAAAGAACTTTATAGCTGTTTAAACGGCTTGTCAATTTCTGTTTAAATGTATTTTTTAAAGGTCAAGCCGAGAGTTTAGTAATTTAAGACAGCAGTTTGTAGCATATCCTACAAGCCAAAACTCTAGTGCCACTCAGGGAAGTGCTTAATGAGCCAGCATTGCTTGTTAAATATATTGATTTATGGAAAGAACATGGAGACAGAAGTTTCAAAATGGAAAAGACTGAGGAGTCCTGAGATAGACATAAACCTCCTTGAGGAAAAGAAGTTTCACTCCTGGCAAAGAGGTGATTCCATGCCTGCCTTCCTCCCCCAGGGCAAGGAGGTTAATTGGGCTTCTGCCTATGAATGCTGTTGTTGTTAGTGGCCATCAGTTCGGCCCCAACTCTTGGCAACCCCATGCACAACGGAATGAAAGCTGTCCGGTCCTGCATCATTCCAATATCAGTTGCAGACAGGACTATTGTGATTCATAGGATTTTCACTGGCTGATTTTTGGAAGTAGATCACCAGGCCTTTCTTCCTAGTCTTAGTCTGGAAGCTCTGCTGAAACCTGCTCAGCATCATAGCAACATGCACGCCTCCACTGACAGACAGGTGGTGGCTGCATATGAGGTGCGTTAGTTGGGAATCGAAACGAGACCTCTGTATGGAAGGTGGGAATTCTACCACTGAACCACCCTCTGCCTATGAATGGAGAAGCAGAAGATAATAGAGCAGAGGAGCCAGGATCAGCGCCTCTAGCCAAGCAGAATGAGAGATTCAGGGATGTGATGAGAAGAACCTGTTGGCTAAGGGTAAAGCTGTCTGCCCGCAAGGACTTTTCACGACAAATCACGCTGAGGACCAATGGTACCAATGTAGCAGAAATATGTACAGGTGCCAGGTTAGTTTTGATTCGTAAAATATTCAGAGTTGGCTTGAAAAGTGATAGACTCACAAAAGATAGGTTCTTACTTCTTTAAATGTTTTTCAAATTGCACAGCATTTAAACGGTTTTTAGTAATGCTGGACAAAGTTGACAAGGGGTGGACTGTGATGGTTAAGATTGTATGTCAACTTGGCTAGGCCATGATTCTCAGTGTTTTGGCAGTTGTATAATGTTGTGATTACTTCCCTGTTGAAATCTGATGTTATCACCCCCATGATGGAATCTGCTGTGTGGTACTGGTGGGGGCAGGGCCTGTGGCGGCTCACCAGCCCCTCAACCTTCATCTCTCCACCCTCTGCCAGCTACTTCCTTCCTGCTCTCCTTGCCAAGGTTTTTGGCTTGTTCCGGACCCAGCAGCTGCCTCTTGTCATCTCACCTCCAATTTTTGGGACTTGAGCTAGCAGCTTACCTGTTGATCTTGGAATTTGTCTACCTTCACAGCCTGTGAGCGGGAGCCCTGCTCTCCGACCTGCCGACCTTGGGTTTGCCAGCTTCTGTGGCTGCGTGAATTGGGAGAGGCCTTTACTCTGATCCACAGACTTGGGATGTTCTAGCCTCTACAATCACGTGAGCTGTTTCCTTGATATAAATCTCTCTATATATATATTTATATGCTTTACTGGTTTTGCTTCTCTAGAGAACCCAGCCTAAGACATTTGGTACCAAAAGTGGGGTGAAAAAAAACAATTAGAGATGAGGAAAAAAAAAATACCAATCTCTACCTCTCACTTAACCATGGTTCAGGAAACATGGGCGTTTGAATGAAGGGGGCCTTACCCAGGCACCACTGGCCATCCAGCTGTATGGAAAGTAGCTGTGAGGAGATGAACAGCCTCTCGAGAGTTTGCCCCAGAATCCTCCCCTTACCTGCTATGCCCTCCTGGTTGTAGCATGTCTTATGCATCTTCCCCATGAAGAGCTCCAGGCCGATGATAGCATAGATGATGATGACAAACAGCACTAGCAGGGCAATATGCAGCAGGGGGACCATGGCCTTGATAATGGAATTCAGGACCACCTGGAGACCTGCAATGAGAAAATAATCATAATGGTGACAGTAGTGAGAGCATTCAGGGAAGTGCTTAATGAACCAGCATTGCTTGTTAAATACTATATTGATCTGTGGCAGGAACATGGAAGAAAAAAGTCTCAAAAAGGAAAGGATGGGTATTTTCCTCTACTGAACCAAGTGTTATCTTGCGTGCTGTACTTACATCTCATGCAATCTTCTCAGCAACTCTACAAGTGAGGTATCACACGCCCCATTTTTTAGATGGGAAAACTGAGGCTCAAGGTCATACAATCAGTGAGTGATCAAGTGGGGCTCTAAATCTAGGTTGGCCTGACTCCAGATCTTTCTTGGAGGTGCATCCAAATAATGGGACTGGCAGATGATGTACTTCCAAATGGAAGAACAAGTTCTTTTCATCCAGAACACTCTAATTTTCCAAGAGCCCACCTTAGTAACAATATAGCATCTTTTGCCCCTAGAGTAGCTTCTCGGTACAGTGAGAGCTTACTTTGACTAGAGACGCCGTGCAAGGACTTACTTATCTCTCAAGGTTCTCCTCATGGTGGAATTGCTGGAGCCCTGTGGTTGGCCCATTTACTCTAAAACACTGATCAGCCTTGTCGTTAGGCATTCAGGAGGGTGGGACTTCCTTTGCTGAAGCTGACCCTTACCAGCCAGACACATCTGGGTGGTGAGACCTCCATGACTGGGCTGAGGAAATGGCTCTTAAAGCACCTTTTCTGGATTACGTGAGTCTACCTCTCTTTCCTACAGATTTCTCACCAGGCCACTTTTCCTGCAGAGACTGACTCTGAAGAACATTATGGCCTTCCATTAAAAAACCCAGGGATCACATGGGTCTTGTTGGTATACCCCAAAGGTCTGTAGGTGTGTACTGTTGTCCAGTGGGGAGAAGGATCCCCTTACTTATAAGCTCAACTACACCGTAAATGATATGCCAAGAATGCTACTTGTTTCAAGGGGAGTTGCAAATCTTCATTGTCAAATGGTGGGAAGGTGATTACCTGCAAATCACCCCCAAACTACTCCCTAACCCCAAGAAAGTCATTTGTGATCTGTCTCCCAACAGTGAGTGTGCCAAGTCTTCACATCCTAGGAAAGAAGTGGTAGCAAGGGCAGGTTCACCTTCCTTACATCTAGATCAGTTGTGCTGAAAATGATCTTGCGGGACACCTTCGACACACATGCGATAGGAAAGCCACCTCTGAATCACACCCCGTGGGTCATTTTTAGTGCTTTTATCTGACTTACCCATCTCCCCAATATTCTCTCATCCCAGCCACAAAGCTCTCCACTTCACTGTGTATTGGTAGTTTCACCTTTGTATTTACCCTCTACCACTTTTGGGTAAATGAAAGCTGGGTCACCATCTCACGGGAGCCTGAGGCAATTGCTGGTGCTTTGTGTGCTGGTGGAGTGGTTTTCACAAGGCTAATTAGAAGAATTCTCCCCAGCTATTAAGCTAAGCTGGGGAGAGGAAAAAATTTAATAATGAAAGAAGAGAAAGCTAGAATAATTTTACCTGTGAATTAATGAGAGTGCTTTGCAGCCTCCCATTAGAACAAGATGTTTTCAGATCCAAATGATTCCATTAATTATCAAGTTGTACACACATTAGTGTTAAAGTATGCGAAGCCACGGAGAAAGTGGAAAACTGTGAACTGCAGAGCAACTTTCAGAGGTATCTGCTTGGGTGAGCGAATTCTAAGTGCTACTCACAGAAAACTCGTTGCCATTGAGTCTATTCTGACTCATAGCAAATGACCCTATAGGACAGAGTAGAACTGCCCCACAGAATTTCTAAGCGAGTAACTGGTGGATTCGAACTGCTTACCTTTTGGTACTTAACTACTGTGCCACAGAAAGGGGAAGGGAAATCCCCAAATCTGGGTTACCCTGGGCACAAGGGGCTATATTACCAGGCCTTCAGTGTTATGGTCTCAAATGGCAAGAAAATGGTGGGTGGGAGGGACAAATGAGATGTGGTGCTCTCTTCCCCGCTGCAGCCAGAGGGTCTGGTCAAAAGGCCACCTCAAACCAAAACCAAACCAAACCCACTGCCATCGAGTCGATTCTGATAGTGATCCTATAGGACAGAGAAGAACTGCTCCATAGAGTTTCCAAGGAGCGCCTGGTGGATTCGAACTGCTGACCTTTTGGTTAGCAGCCATAGCACTTAACTACTATGCCACCAGGGTTTCCAAAAGGCCACCTCAGGCCTGCTTAAATGTTTAATGGCCTCCCCTGCTTTTAGGATGGAGTCCCTGGGCGGTACAAACAGTTAATGGACTCAGCTGCTAACCGAAAGGTTGGAGGTCAAGCCCACCCAGAGATGACTCTGAAGAAAGGTCTGGTGATCTACTTCAGAAAAATCAGCCACTGAAAACCCTATGGAGTACAGTTCTACTCTGACACACATGGGGTTGTAAAGAGTTGGGATTGACTCAATGGCAACTGTTATTTTGGTTCTTAAGATAAAGACCAGAATTTTTCATGTGTCCTACAAGGCCTTGCAAGGACTGCCCCCCAATCCATCCAAGCCCACTCCCACCCCCTGCCCCAACTCTTTGGACTCCATTCAAACAGCTCTTCTTTAGAGACTCAAATAAGCCATACTTCTTACCACCACAGGGCTGCCGCACATGCTTTTCCCTCTGTCTAGAACACTTTCCCTTTAATTTCCTTCTACGCATCTCTCAGCCTTGGCCTGAGCATCTCTTACCCAGGGGTCCCTCCCTAAGGTCCCAGACCAAAGAAGGTTCCTTTATTTTCTGTCCTCTTAGAACTAGTCCCTTTCCTTTGGATTAATCTCAGTTTGAAATTATATGCTCAATAAGGTGACTAAAAAAATTATAACTGTCTCTCACATTCGGCTGAGTTTTGTGAAGGTGGAGATTGTATCTGTTCTACTCACCATTTTATCTCTAGGTCTACCTTGGTGCTGAATCCATGGCAGGCACTCAGTAAATATTTATTGAAGGAATGACAAAGCTTTCAATCCCAAATCAATGCTATTGCTATTGTGGGGTTTTAGCAGGCTTGGCTGAAGTGGAATCTACTTGGCAGGTAGGTATGGAATGGACAGGTGAGTTTCTGGGACCTGCAGGGTCAGGAACAGGCCACTGTGTGGGCTGTGAGGAAGACAAATGGAAGTCAAAGGAGCCTGTCTGCCTGTGCTGCCATCAGAACTCCTAAATAATATTCTGTCCCTCATGTCCCCATCTCGTTGGTAGCCATGCCACCTACTTGAACATCCAGGACTGAAAACGGATTTCCTAGACTCTTCTCTCATGGACACCCCACACCCAACAAGTTACCAAGTCCTGCTGGTTTGATTTTGAAGTATATTTGGGCATATATGAATTATTTTTACTACAGAAATAATATATAATATGTAGAAATAATTACAGAAAAATATGAAATGCTTATAGAGAAATTAGAAAACACAGGGCAGCAAAAAGGAGAAGAAAACAGAAATCAACCTTTATCCTACCACTGTTATCATTTTGACATGTAGTTTGGACATTTTGGTCCATGACTTAATTTGATCCTCTCCATCCCATGATATTCAACATTGGTTAACTGGTCTCCCTACTTTTAGTTTTCCCCACCCTGCATGTTCCAGTTAGAGTGATTTTTCTGCAACCTGTTACTTCCATGCTGAAAATCCTCCCTGTCCCCTACAGATAAAGCTCACCTGCCTCCTTCCCCAGGTAGATCTCATAGGGTCCCCATTTACACCTTACCTCCCAGCAATATACCAAACCATCTGAAGTTCTCTGGCCATGCTGTTCCATGCCTCCACACCTCAGTGCATGCTGTTCCCCTTGCCTAGAATGCCATTCCCTGCCTAACTGAGAGCTCCTTGACTTTCCATGTCTTCTTATCTTTTATCTCATGCACATAGTAGGGATTCAACGAACACGGAGCTAAATCACATTTGTAAACACAGGGTGCCTTCAGAAGACAGAAACCATGACAACGAAGGGAAGGGATATCACAGCATTCAACCATCATTAGAAGAAACTGAAGGTATTTTGTCAGGAAAAGATAAGACTCACAGAATGGGAAAAAGGCACAGGTAGGGGGGGCAATGTCAATGATTTTCACATTTCGAGGAAGAGGGGTTAGATGAATTCCATATGACCAAAAGGGATGGAACTAGGACCAACTAAGAAATATCTGGGAAAGATTTAGTTTCAACACAAATAAAAAACTGTCCACCAAACAGACTTATCTGAAGATGGATTTGGGTGATTTAAGAGGTAGTGGGTTCCCTACCTCATAGGTATTCAAGCATTGACTGAATAAGCCCCTGGAGGAGGTTCCTTTGTAGAGATTTGGACATTGGATCAAGGATTTCCCTGGGCCACCAAAGCTGGGTACAACCCCCTTAACATCTTCTGAAGACTTGCATGGGCGGGTGCAGCTCTAAACACTGTACTTGGATTATTCCACTTCCTCCTGGCCAACAACCCCATGAAGCAGGTACTATTAACAATCATATTTTGAAGACAAGAAAAGTGAGCCCCAGAAAGGTTACATAACCTGCCCATAGTTACACCGCTAGTAAGTGGTGGTGTGGGTTTCAGTGAGGAGGGGTCTGGCCCTGAGCCAGTGTGCTTCACTACTGTGCTAAATGCCTCCTTGTGACCCCAAAACTGTGGCTCTCGGCCTCCACTACCAGAGTCTGTAAAGCAGGAACACATGCCTATGACATCTACTGGGAAGGTGGGGGAGTCTAGTCCCTGCTTCCCGTAGAACCCCCAGATGTTTCCACGGCCAGTCCAGGAAAGGCTTCCAGGTTCTGTCTGCTTATCTCATGCACCCTTGGGACAGCAGAAGCCAGGCTGGTAAGTGAAAGCATGGGGCCAGAATTCCTTCTCTCCAGTCCATCAGACAGAGTTTGGCTCTCAAGGCCTGGATGTTTAATAGTTTCTTCTTAAAATTGGCTCATAGCTGTCTCAAAAACAGCTCCTCCAGTTCAACTTCC